AAAAAAAAAAAAATGTTACAAATTTACAATAGATTACAATTCTTCTCTTTTTACTCATGGTGGCCATCGCTTAGTATATAACTATATATTAAATTGATTGAAGCAAAAACTTATGATAAAATGTATTATGATTGTTTAAAGATCACGAGATCTCGATACATGATAAGTAGACACCATATAATGAGTTCGTATTTGGTAAACGAACAATTATAATATAAATTATAAGACACAAATAGTGTCGTTGGGTTGTTTTACTTTTAGACATTTATCAAAATTTCAGTTGAAGGATGGATCTGATTGCCAAAGTTGATTGAACATGATATTTAATCTTTTTGATAAAATAAAAGGCTACCATCAATTCCATTTACCCCATTAACTTGTTTAGTTTTAGAGTTGATAATTATACCCTTTAGGTTAAATTACTTTTCTGAATTAAATTAAAATGGCATAATTTGCTCTGAACACAGAACACGATTATTGCTCTTGATTTTATTTATCGCCTTTCTCTTAGTTCATACTCCAAAACGTCGTCATCTTAAAAAGTACGACAAGGATGAATTACAAATCCCACCTAAGAAGTGTGATACATAATGTTGAAAGTTTGAAAGATGTTAATAATTTATCAGGTCATGACTTATTTCAAGAGCTTATTTCTTAGAACCAAACGTTAATAGGATGAATATGTTATAAAATGGTGTGATATCAAGCAGAATTCATCCAACCAAACCAAAGACCTAAGTGTATACAAACATCAATAGGATATTTGTAATTTACTAATTTCCCAACCGTTAGAGTGGGCACATGTAATTCTAACCAACACCAAAGATTTTTGGTAGGTAAGTTAAACTTGTTTAGGATTTATTCTTCACTAATAAAGGGAGACAAAAGTAGAATTAGATGACTTGTGCCAATATTAAATGAACTTGAACACCAATTTCTCTATTCAATCAACCCCCAATAAAGGGAGATTTATTTATGGCAAAATTACAATTTTAGTGATGTTTGGTCTGATAAAGTGACGTTTTTAGTCCTAAGAATTAAACATATTTGCTATTTTGTCCTATAATTTTAAAATTCTACTCAATTTCAGTTCTCTAAGACTGAAAATACAACAAAATTTAAAATTACAGGACTTAAATTGCTAATAAAAAATACTTTATTAGTTTATTAACAATTTAAATCCTGTAATTTTCTTTTTTTTTTTTTTTTT